GCTGGGGTATCTGCGTGGCGAGGCAGTGTAAGGTTTATAGATGAAAGCATCCAATTACACCACTTTGGTAGCATCAGAAAAAGAACAGCTAGAAAATAAGCGGCCATTACATTTACAAATGTCAACAATACAGGCGACATAAAGGTTTTCCGTGTTTAATTATCTAGTAGGCTTTAAGCAGAATGACATTTATGGTTTAATGGTTCTCTAATAGCACTGTAAAGTATTGTCTTAGATTATTATGATGTTGCAATCAGATTGACAGTGGTACAAACTGGTAACCATGTATGTAGTGCCATTTAATATTTATATATATATATATTTTTTTTTTTCTCTGTATATTACTGAATAAAGCAACCCAAAAATCTTTATAAACTATATGCAGTGATCTCACTTTATATCATGATCATCATCATCATGGACAGTAAATATGTACACCACCATCATTTTCCCATGTGAAGATCACAATGACAGCATGCTGAGCAGGTTAGGTCAGGTCTCTTGCACCATGGCCAAAGACTCAGGCTCACTCTGGGAGATCTCCAGACATGCCCAAGCCAGCTAGGAGATACAGTCCCTGCAGCATATCCTGGGGCCACCCCCCCCCTCCATTGGAGTGTGCCCCCAGTTCCCTTGGGTGCCATCCAGGTGACATCCTTATAAGATTGTCACATCATGTCAACTGACTCCTCTCAACTCTAAGGAGGACATGAAGATTTCAGCAACCTCATTTCAGTCACTTATACTCAGAGTCTAGTTCTTTCAGTCATAACCCTTAGCTCATAAATGACGATAGGGGCATAGACTGATTGGTGAACTCGTTACATTATACAGCACAGACCTCCTGATTGCCTGAAAAAAAGCAAGCAGTGCATAAATCTGCCTGTCCATCTTACGTTCGCTCTTATCAACAACTGTGAATCAAATCTCAAGTACTTAAACTCCTTCACTTGGGGCCGACTCACCCCCTCCATGCCTGAAAGGAGACATCCACTCTTTTCCAGGAGAGCACCACGGCCTCTGATTTGTAGGCGCTGATTCTCATGCCTGCCTCTTCACACCCTGCTTAAGAGCATGCTGGAGCTCCTGGTAAGATGAGACTAAAGGCAAACAACAGCTGTCCTGATATCCCATCCATGAAAATCACAAACAGAAAAGGTTGTATCCTTTATGGAAGCCAGCACCTACTCTTAACGGGTTTGGTTTTTCTGCCAAAAATGCAGACACAACTCAAAGCATTCATACAGTTCATGGACTAAATAACACGCAGTAGCAACACCAGTACCCAGTTTCCCCGCAGCACCTCCCACAGTATCTGCCAGGACACGGGCTCATACGCCTCCCAGCATATTCCCAGGAACCCTCACACAGCTGTCCAAGGGAGAAGAGTTGGTTCACTGTTTCCTAGCCTGGCGCAATCCGCATTGTTCCTCCTGAAGCCTAGGTTCAACCATCGGGCAGAGTCTCCTATCCGGTTATTTGGCATTGTAGTTGGAACACACCATCTGTCAGGCCAGAGGTACTTAACCCACCTTCCATGCAACACTGCAAAGGCATGGCGACCCGAGAACATCCAATGATCTCAACATCTCTGGACAGATTTCATCTCCCCCTGAAGCCTTCCCACTACTGAGGTCTCTGACCACCATAGTGACTTCAGCTACACTGGAAAACTCTGATTCACCAGAAGTTTCTGGGTCTACTAATGGATAAAGGAGTTATTTTGACCATTTATCAGTATCTCAAGAGTTAGTCAGCAGTTCCCCACCTTGCCTTCTAAAACTGCTTTCAGTGCAGCCCTTGTGGCCTGTCGTTAGGAGTCTCCTATCTCTGGAGACTCCTGTGCAAGCATTGTCCTGAAGGCCATCTTCTTCAACTTGACGTCTTCCCTCATCAAAGGTGTCCACAAGGAGCTCTTAAGGTTACGACCATGACAGGCAGCTGCCTTCTGGCCACAGCTCTGGCAAAGAGGCCTTGAACATGGTCCATTCAGACTCAATGTCCCCGATATTGCTTAGTACATAAGAGAAGTTCTTCTAGAGATGCAGGTTGAACTGTCTCTCACAGAAGCTTCAGTTATGTTCTCAGCCCTGGTCCAACTGGTTGACAAAGGTTGATAAATCTACTCCTTGCATGTTCAAAAACATGCTTGAAGTCAGATGATGCAACAATGAAGTTGATCATTGATCACTGGCCCAGAGTGCATTAATACCACAAACATTCACAAACGTGTCAAACAGGTTTTTGTCATGGAAAAGCCATGGCTTAGACCGAAGATCTAGGAGTCCATATTTCCCATCACAGCGTGCCAAGTATGACCACAAAAAATCAAGGAGTTTGTTGGCAGTACCCTTGTGAGCTTCTCATCCACTTTCTTTGAGATGACTGGGCACTCTGAAGTGCCGCTTATTGTGTACATACCAAGCATCACAGAGAGACAACCCTGGGTGGGTAACCCTATTCCAGGTAGGGTACACTTCGACCTACTGGTTGTTGTTAGATCTTAGTTTGTCTGACCTCTTCCCACAGACTTTTTTGCCAAAGGAAGTTCAACCATGATCAGATGACACAGTTCTGTGGATCGCTGAGGCATGAAAACCTCTGCATCTTACTAAAGTCACAATCCTCAAGGGAGATAATTGTATATTTATATTTTGTATACTATCAGGGTTGTGGGGTCGAGACTCACACTCCCTCTATGTGCATTTGTGGAGTTTACATGTCTTCTTCATGATTGCCTGGATTTAATCCAGGTACCTCTGAAAACATGTGGTTATGCGAAGTCTTATCTCTAAACTGCCCCTATAATGGACAGGCATCCCATCACAGATCTGCCCTCTACTTCACGTATAAGTTCCAGATGCACTCTTGTACTTGCAGTGGTAAATTGACATGTTTAGAGACCCGTAGGCTATACCTTCCATAGGCCTAATGGCCCCACTGGCCAAAATGACACAAAAATTAACTATAAAATTATTAAATAATAATAACTATGAATTAATTTCTAGAAATCAAAGACAATGTGGTGCTCTATTAAAAGAGAGCAATCACATCAGGAGAACAACAAACCGGCAAGCATACAGCTTTACATCAGTCATATGCAGCACCCAGAGAGAGCACAGCAGAGACCCCATTGAATAAAAGCATCTCAATACTGATAACCAATGGCATGTGTCTTGAAGTCGCTCCATCCATTGTTTGTATGTAAACTATATAAGTAACACGCAGCTTTCTTACAAACGTCATCATCAAAATGACACCACTTTCAGTTATAATTATTAGTTTATATCTGGAATATGATTTAGAAATGATTAGACATTAGAATAATTAGATGTTACATAAGGCTGCATTTGAAGACTGTTTGCATGAATATTAGAAATTGGATAACATTTTAGTACAGTAGATCGCTTAAGATAGAGTTCTGAAAAATAGCCAAAACAAGGGTCCACATCAAAATAAATGCATAGGTGTCTATATGGGTGCTGGACCATTGTTGTTGAGGTATTTAAATTCGGTTTATGAGTCGCATGTTCACGTATAAAATTTCATGTTGTGAATTGCAAATACTATAGTGTTTCTGCATATTGAAGGGAAAAAAAATGATAGATTTGAAATATCACTTTGTAAAATGAACAATTGTTAACACAATTATTGTGTTACAAAGTTAAAGACTTTTAGTAAGAAGGGTTAACACAGATAATAGGGGTCTCCTCTCCATACACGCTGCACAGCGATCCATTGCACCTCTAGCACGAGTAATATTATATAATTGGCTGCCAACGGAAGCGTTATAGCTGTCGTTTACACTATGTTATGGTATGGCGGTATATGAAAAATTCATTCCATACGGGAAATTGAAACCAGTATACTAGACGAACAAGTGTAGTGCTATTCTGAAGATTGCAAAATGTATGTTTACGAGAGAATATCCCATGACTGTCAATACAAAAATATAGAATGATCAGCAAACGTACTAACTAGTGGAAGGTTATTTCACTGAAGCAGGATCCACGCCTGTTTCTGCAGCCAAAAGCGGCAGTATGAAGGATTGAACTGAATTTCTCCAGTATGGCAGTCAAATCGTTGCACTTGCATTCACGTGGTAGCAGGACTTGTAAATATAGCTTATGTCGTTAGAGGTAACCTCGGGTGAATCTCAATATGCATACTTGACCGTACTTGTATTCTCTTGTACCCGTTTTACGTCATGTTCCATTGCTGAAGACCAGTTCCAATACTAAGAACACAAAAAACAGAGGACGGTAAAAACCCCCGATGCTGGTCTTGCTCCGCCCCAAATATCAAGGGCACATTGGTTACATCCTTGCCGAAAGAGACCAATCCCATGATTCATTGTGGCCCAAGTTTGTTCTTGCTATTGAGATTCACCCCATAAAACATTACACTTGGATCCAGTGCGTGTCAACTGCATCCACAACACACATTTACCATAAATAGCATAGACCATAGATAACTTTATGGAGAGAGGAAAATTCCAATAGAACATAAAACATATTCTTACTATTAGAATGTTTTCCTCAGTGCATTTGTGTAATATAAACAGACTATGCATATGGAACCAAAACATTCTCAACGGTATAAAAAGAGCAACAAGAAAGAGATATTTAGCATTGGCCTCCCCATTCTGTTTTAACCAATCATCTATTCACAAACCAACAATCAATAAAGGATCATTTCTTAAAAAATAACAGTTAAAAAAAACAATAAAATAGATGGCCAATCGGGGCCCCCTGATTACTCTGGGCCCCTCGATGCTTGATAAGTGATTATGAAAACTGGAAAAAACAACGCGTTTCTACTCGGATATAAATTAATTGCGTGAAACTTGTTTGTTTGAAATTAGTTTTTATTACACTGATATAAAACTTTAAATTTATTTTTGAAAGTTTAAAAAATGTACTTATTGCCATTAACTCCATCTGAATAAGTATAAAAAGAGGTGGCAGGTAAATATCGGCGGTGGGTTTATGACACGGAGACGCCGGCAGCTCGACACCCGTGTACGCTGTCAGCGCGCGGAGCATTCCGCAGCCCGCGGTGAAGTGTTAGCAAGTTCACACCGCGCTCGCTGGCTGGCAAACTCACCGCATGCTCGAGGGGCGAATCCAATCTGCAAGCCATCTATCTTCACAGCAGGCAGCGGCACACCGGTCAAAAAGCAGGTCAGTCAGGAAATACACCGCGCTCGACGGCCTCCATTCCGTATGCCGTCGTGATGAATAGCATCTTAACGCTGTTACTAGCTGCCAAAGGTCATTTTAACCGGTTACCCTAAGAAAACTGTGGCCCATTTTGACTGCATTCATGCACAGCTACTTTTGCCTCTTTCCAGTTCTCATTCCAGAAGTAATGCTCAATTTTTCCAGACCAAAAAAACAAAAAACTTTTTTTTTTTGCAGCTAGTACTCCTTCGCGATTCATTACCAGGCAAGTTGACATTGCTGCTGTGCAATGTGTTTCATCTTGACGAATAAGTTAGCTGCAGAGTGGAAAACAGCACACTCACTGCAAAGATGGAACCAGTTTGCTGGTCCAACATCAAATCTGCGACTTAATTGTTGGTTATTTTAAACTAGTCAGGTGCAAATTGATAGGGTACAATGTCTTTCAGGAAAATGTTTCAAAAATACCTGGTTGCAATAGTCGGTTGCACCGAGCCCCCACTCTGTCAGGGTTGTGTGTTCAGATCCCCTCCTCTGCACTGTATATGTGGGGTCTGCATATTGTGCTTGTGTTCATGACCTGGATTCCTCCCACAGTTGAAGTGCAAGCAGTTTGTGCCTCAGAAAGGTCCTTGTGCTTGGTGACGCACTGGCATTCTGAGTGTAGCATGGTGACGCACTGGCATTCTGAATGTGCGCTTGGTGACGCACTGGCATTCTGAGTGTGCGCTTGGTGACGCACTGGCATTCTGAGTGTACGCTTGGTGACGCACTGGCATTCTGAATGTGCGCTTGGTGACGCACTGGCATTCTGAGTGTGCGCTTGGTGACGCACTGGCATTCTGAGTGTGCGCTTTGTGACGCACTGGCATTCTGAATGTGCGCTTT